CTCCAAGAGGCGTACTGGCGGAGACAGCAGAGTCCGGTTTCTCAGCAGTAGCTTCCGATTCCTCGTCTGAAGCCATAGATATAGAGTGCCGCCTCGAACGTCGTGACTTGCGCCGCGAATACCTCTTCTTTTGTCGCTTATTCCTGAGCGAACGTGCCCTTCGCTTATTTGACGCACGTGATGAAGCAACTGTATCTCGAGGTCTCACTGCGTGGTCAGGTGTCTTCGCTGTCCTCGGATCTTTGCGATCCTGTGGGCGTGGCGGTAGGCTGGTTGGAGCGATGTGGTGTCCTCCGAAGTGATGTGGAGCAAATGGATCCCTCCATTTGCTCCACTTTCCGAAGCAGATCACTTTGCATAATCATGATCTCAGCGCAGGGTCGTATGAGACCTACCATGAGGCTCGACAAGTTTCTGACGAAGAAGTACTTTCAAATGTGCGTACACTCCATCGAGCCGGGGCTGATAGAAAGAGGATCCTCGAATACATTACCGAGCATTCTACCGTCGAACCGATGATGAAAAGACGTCCACAACCTGGTGCCTAAACTCAAGCGAGAGTTTTACAATCTACCGTCACTGGAGGGGCGGATTAAATCCATTTTGAAGGATTTTTTTACCAAACCCGGGAATGTAACTAGGGTGTTTTCAAACGAGAAGGTGAGAATGAGAATTAATTTCTCATTTCGCTAAATTATTAATGTTTTTTTTTTTTGGGGGGGGGGGGGTCTTTGCAGGAAATAGTCGAGTGCATATGCATTCAGTCCGCTCACATGCGACAGCTGTTTGGACACTTTCCAGAGGTGCTGCTGATAGATGCTACTCACGACACCAATACATCAAACTATAAGCTGTTAGTTTAATGATTTACGACGCTATGGGGAAGGGACAACATGTCCAGGTACAAATTAAAACGAATTGTCTGCGATTGTGTACCAGTCTTAGACTGTGCATTGTTTTAAATCATTCCCTAACACGTTTTATTGCCTATATACAGCACAGCTTGCTACAAAACGAAAGGAAGGAAACGTTGCGATTGGCGTGTGCTCAGTTCAAGGAGAGTTGTCCTTCGTATGATTCGCTTGCTGTTATAGTTGTGGACAAGGACTTCACGGAGCTGTCGGATTTGGAAGAGGAATTTCCTGGCGTCCGTATACTATTGTGCCACTTTCACGCTGTTAAGTATCTACAAGAGGAAGTTGCCAAAGCGAAGTACAACCTGGACGCGTACACACAAAAGAAAATGAAACGATTCATACAGCTGCTGGTTAGTACACGTTCGAAAAAGAACCACGACGATGTGATCTCAGCTATGAAGGTAGTATCACGGGCGGAAGCTAAAGTGCAGCTATGGTTTGACTATTTTGATCGGAGCTGGACAAACTGCACGAATCCGTGGAGCTCTATCTATCGGGGGAACGTCCCGCATATGGGAAATCGGACCTACAACTGGCTTGAGTCCATCTGGCAGAAATTGAAAACGCTGGTGAATCGATCCATCACGCTTGATGACCGCGTCGTCTCTGTTTTGTTTTGTTTTTGGCAAACTGTGAAGGAGAGAATGTGGCAGCGGGCTGTTAGCAAAATTGGCGTGAACACGAATGCGCAATATGATGCGGATATGAATGCTTTGACAAACACTAATTCGGATCACGCCGTACAACTCGTCAAGCATCAGTACGACTTTGCGCTTCTACCCACGACTAAATATCGATATTATCCCATGGGCCCCTACATCATGATACAGTACACGGCAGCTACAGAGGAGGACATTCAGGAAGCGTATATGATGAATCCACAGGTGTGGACTTGCTCGAGTATTTTCCGCGTGACAAGGCTTCTTCCGTGCCGCCATATCATAGACTACCGAAAGGCAACTGGCAGCTGCGCTCTTGTTCCCGAGAGCATTCTTCATCCGCGTTGGGTGTTTAAAAACTACAAAAAGCTGAAAAAAGAAAAATTTGAACCGGTAGGGCCCTCATACGAAGACAGAAAGATGTCCCTACAATTGGGTGGACGTGCCAAACCGCAGAACGAGAAATTCAACGAGCTGTTACATGTAGGCAAGCAGGCTGCTGACATTGGATCTACTTGGGGCACCACCGCGCACAAAAATTTGAAGCAGGAGTTGCTGAAGGTTTTGAATGCTGTTCGGGTCGGCCAGTGTTCTCGTGTTGCGCCAACAGGTCATGATCGTGCCAGGAATGAGCTGATGTCTACCCGAGAAAACAGATTTGATTCGTCAAGTGGATCACACTTTGAAAATGTTACACAGTCTGAAACTGTACCCGAACACACCAACATTTTTCCAGCCACTCTTCGCGATTCCTTACACCAAGACACCGACTTGCAGCAGCTTGAAGAGAAAGAAGTCGTGTGCGTAGACCCGAATGAACACGCTGAGTTTCAGCGCGTCGAGGAACGTGATACTGAATCTCAGAGTGCTGCATAGTCGGATACACGTGCACAACCTAAGCCTATACAAACGGAAGAGCAGGTGGAAGCGTGTACAAGAGAGCACACTGAGGCATCGTCGGATCCAGAAGGCTCTCAGCCCAGCTCCTTGGATGGTTTCCCCCTCCAAGAAAAGAGCAGGACACGCTTAAGCTGCCAGATAAGCTCGCAAGGAAGCCGGCAGAGAAGGTCTGAATCAGACGTCAAGGTTGAGTCGAAGCAGTGGCGGATGGACTAATACCTTCTATGGCCAAAGTGCAGGCCGCCCAAGACACAGGTTTTTGGTACAAAATTGCAAAGTTCTGAGGGAATGAAGGTGCTAAATTAAACACACTCCAGCCAAATTTGAGTCGCCGTGAAGAGGAAAATGCAGTGCACAGATGCCACGACAATTCGATCTGTCCTCCCTACCAAAACATTCGAGTCGTGCCAAGCTCAGATTGTTGTTTTTTCAGAATAGGTGGTTTAGTGATTTCGATCAAAGAATCCCTACGGCTGCCGTTTCAGTTAAAACGGGCGGAGTTGTATACGACTCTCAAATGCTGAAGGCAATAAACTCGTGGCACTTAGCAGTTCAACGATTCAACGAGATCCGAGAGACCATTTAGTGGATAAACAACGTAGACTTGACGGGGTGGAATCCCGATGATAGCTGGAGGAACGGTTTGCTTTTGCTCGATAAATTGGAGACTGGTCTGGAGGATACCGACGTTTTTGG